TATATCGATTATATATATATATATATATATATATATATATATATATACCGGTTAAAGTAAATAGCAAGAGGAGTACACTACCAACAACTGGGAGCCATTGACCGAAGAGGAAAATAATACTATATTCGATGCCAAGTATAGCGCAAGGAATCGTCTGATCACGCTAATGTATATATACATATATATATATATATACATGATATATGCATTATATCTCTCATATACATACATATACATTAATAACTCTTTTTCTTTACGTATGTTTATACATTCATCAATTTTTTTCTTTAGCCATAAATAAAAAAAAAACAGAGATGATTCTACTCGGAAGTAGACATTCTTCATAAGAGATAAACGAAAATACGGAACCACATTTGATACTCAATGTTGATTTCAAGAAAAGAGAGACGAGGAGGCCAATAGATCCTCCGATTATGTGTCCGTAAGCACATGACCTCGCGTGCGCCAATGGAATATACATGTGTACAATATATATATATATATATGTGTGTGTGTGTTGACTCGCTAGAATCATACGTTTACTATCAAACTAGCTAGCTAGCTAGCTAGCTAGCTCATCGTATAAGCCAGCACGTACGTAATACACACACATAGACAAAAAGTCTTCTCCTTTTTCTTTCTACATGAGTATATGTGTGTGTGTATATACGAGGGTACAACGAGGGTCTTGAACCCACAATCGGACTTGTGGGTGTGACTGACTCATAGTATTATAGTCGATTTACTATAGAGCACGCGTGGACTCTCGTAGTAAGCTTTCCCCTCTCCCCAACCCTTCCCTTCCCCCCCCCACCTCTTTATTCTTTTTCTCGTTCTACGCTTCGTTTCCCTTCTCCCTCGAGCGAGAACGAATGAGAGAAAAGAAGCAGGAGGGGGACGACCAGGGGTAAAAGAAGACGAAGAGGATTGATGGAGAAAGGGTGGAGGGGCAGGAGAAAGGACAGGGGCACAGGGGGGGGGGGTAGAGAAAAAGAGAAAGAGAATTACGAGTTACCCGTACACGATCGTGACTATGTGTGTTTCCCCCCTTCTAGACGAACGTGTATTATTTTGTATGCTCTAATGTGTGTACAGAAAAGGGGGGAAAAAAGAAGGGAGGAAAAAGAGAAAGGGGGTTAGGGAAGAGAGACGGTTGTGTGTATGTGTTCTTCTCTCTTCGCTCTCGTAAAATCATTCGAGTATAAAATAAATATATATATATATATATATATATATATATATATATATATATATATGTGTGTATATGAGGAGTTTATTTGATGATAATGCAATAAGAGCTATGTAACACATATATGTATATATAAACAAATTTATATAACAAAGCACATGACTAAAGATATGTTGAAAGACAGAGAGAGAAAATGAATGTCTCAAATCTCCTGTATGAAGATCTGATCATCCACCAACGCGCTCATTTTACTACAATGACGTCCACCATGTAGTAGTAGTAGCCCGCCATTGATTCTCATTTATACATGTGTTGTGTATAATCTTTATTTAAAAATGATTTTACGAATGAAAAAAGATTCATTTACGTGGCAAAAATGTGATAAGAATTAATTCATATATCGTATTACAAAATCATATTTCAAATAAAATATGAATTATATTATGTATGGAGTATTCCATTACGGTAAGTTGAATTTACCGCCAAGCGCGAAGGGGACTGCCATTTTGTATTGAAGTTTTTAAAAATTTTGCCGCCACATATCGCGATGATTAGTTTTCGAACATTTTTACGAATAAAATAAAAGATTCGTTTATGTGACAAAAATATAATAAGAATAATTCGTAATAATCTTCATTATTAAAACATTTTCAAATAAAATATGAATTCTATTATGTCCCCTACGGTAATTTGAATCTGCCGCCAAGCGCGAAGGGGGCTGCCATTTTGTATTGAAGTTTGAAAATTTTGCCGCCACATATCGCGATGATGTTTTTCAAACATTTTTACAATAAAATATTTATCAATATATGTGTAAAAAAAGAGATATAGTGAATAAGAAACCATTATTCTTGAAATGAAAGTTATTATTTTTCTTTTTATAATCAGAATTGCAGAATTATTATCATGTAAACAGATAATAGATCTCATATGTAAACGACGTGTGATAGTCGTAAAATTGACGTAAGCGGTTGTTGTTAATGTGTTGTGTTCGTATCAAATTGAAGCAGCCGTCGTCGTTTCGTATTCTCACATCTGCATTCCAAGGAATATATATATAAAAATATATATGTATGTATATACTGTCGGATATACGGTCATATAAGCACCACTCGCACGTTCTACCCGAAGTACAAGCTTTCTTGATTGTCCATAATTATCCTCAAGCGACGAATACTTAGTAAATTCTTCTACAGCTGCACAAGTTCTTTCTTTCTCATAAATATGTGTATATATGTGTGTGTATATATAATGTTCCCTTCTTTCCAATAAGAAGAAGTCATTCTTTTTTTTTTACTGAAGAACAAAAATTGTATTCCGACCAAACTACCACCTTGCGCGGTGACTGATCACGGTTGGTTGATATCGTTGAATATTGAAAGATAAATAATATTATGAGGTTAAGTTTGGACAATAATAAATGGTATAGTTAAACTAAGCCACCCTTTGTAATTTAAAGAAAAATCCAGAAGGAAAATAGTACTCTTGAAAAAGATAAAGGTACCACTTCTCAAGGATTAGAGGATAACATGAGAAAAAGCAGACACGTCTGTTAGAAAAAGACCCTAAAACGTCTGTTCCTTGTTTGCCGTTATCCCTAAAGAGTGGTATGTCATATATTTCATGGTCGAGTTAAATTCTTTCTATAGAAAAAATGTGTTTCTATTATTTTCTTGAAAATTATACACACTTATACACCAATCATCTGTATATATATAAAAATTCAATGTTAAGGATTTATTATTTAGTGGTAATCTAGGTCTCCAAGTAATGTAAATTTTCGATAGATGGCGGTGTATCAAAATTCAATTATTTCACGTTTTTTTCAGGTTTTCATACGACATAACTAACCACCTTGTTTTTTATATTTATTCCTGTATTATTATTTTATGTATTTCATTGTAATAATTTACTAAATAGTTTAGAATTAACATTAACAAAGTTACAATATTTACAGTAGTCACACATACAGTTTGAACTAATGTAATAAAATAGAAAGTGAAATCTATTTGYGTAATATCGTAATACTTGCAATAATAATAATTATTCTCCTCATTGTGTTTGTTTTTCCTTCAAAATAATTTGTAAAATATCAAAGATATAATAGGTGTACAAAAAAAAAAAAAAAAAGAAGAAGAAGACGAAGAAAATAAGGCGAGGCTTGAGGAAAAAGAAAAAAGATAAAAAAAAAAAAAAAAAAAAAGAAATTACAAAACATAGAACGAAGTCAAAAGAAAATCTAAATTCTTAAAATATTTTTCTATTGAAACTATGAAGGGACACGTTGTGTTGGTAGTTATGGTCTTCTTCTTCCCTATTTTTTTTTTTCCAGCATGGTTTATATTATACAAGAAGAAGAATCCAGTGCGGGCGTATATTATGAGGGTTCGAATTCCAAGAAGGGACTACTACTACTACTACTACTACTACTACTACTACTACTACTACCACCACCACCACTACTACCACTCTCGTAAGGATAGACGATCCTAAAAGAAGAGAGAAGGAAGAAGACCCCGGGAGCTATTCAACCTGAAATCCTTCGCAGGTTACTAAAAGGGATCTTCCTTTCTCTCTTTATCTAACTATCTATCCATCTATCTTTTTTTTTCTCTGCACGTAGAGACATGTGTGTGCGTGTGTGTGCGTACCTTCCTGTTTAATTCTAGTTTATGGTAATAAAAAAAGATAAAAAAAGGAAAACGTGTTCTTGACACAGTCCCAGGTAAGAAAACTCGAAATACATTTCCAAAACTTTTTTCGTTAGTCACGTTTCGTTCCCCCTCCCCCACCCCCTTCCAAAAAAAGAAAATGTCGGCCAGTCGGCCATTTGTAAAAATTAGAAACTTCTCGTTTTGGAACCGTGTACAAAATATACAAAAGAAAAAAAGATAAAACTCATGGTGGTGGTATAGGTGTTAGGTTAAGAACACTCACTTTTACACACACACACACACATACACAGAGAGAAAAATTTTTTAGAAAATATTAGAAAAGAAGTAATAATTCTTGTTTTGAAAGTTAATTATATAATTCGTAAAAAAGAATTGTCAAGGCTAATTTGAACATGGCATATTTCGTGAGTCAAAAGTAGGTTAAAAGTGGTGGTAATGGGTGTTAAGGACACACACACACACACACACAGAAAATTCCATAGAATATATTAGAAATAATTTTAAGAAAGAAAGAGAATTTATTATAATTGGTTAAGAAATTAGCAAGGCCAATTTGTGAAACTTAGCAAATTTGGAGGATTTACGGGGAGAGGGGGGGGATTTCCCTTTCACG